CCTATATAAATGGGGTATGAAATTGTTCCTGTTGATCTTAGGAACAGATAGCAACTACTACCAAGTTGATGCGAGTAAAACTTCCGTAGTTATTGAACAAAAAGACGGAGCTCAAATAGTGCAACTTACCCTCACGGCGTTTCAAGCCAAACTTTGGCATGTAGTTAAAAGAAAGACTTCCCTCAACATCAGGAGCAAGGAAATCTGCAAGAATGGAAAGCAATGCCAATGATTTGCAATTTTCGGAGTGCCTATGGTTCAAAACCATGTACCTCCACATCAGAATTACTAAAAGTGAGCAGAAATAGGAAAAATTTGGCATACGTGATTTACTTGATGCTCAATAGAGGGAGCCACAGGCTCGAGAAAGTTTAGGGATAGAGATAAGATAATAAAAACTTAAAATCTTTTTATAAGTTTTTATAATTTTTTTGTATTTTATATTTTATACTTTTTTTGGTTTTTATAATTTTTAATACACAATACAAACACTAAAGCAAAAAGCGGATAGGAAAGAGTTTACGATTAATAGGCTCATTGGCATGTGGCTATGTGTAGGAGAGTGCAAATAATAAATGGGAACGCGATGAAAATATTCTTAGGCAGATTTTAGAATCTGCGGGAGATGTGATTCTTAAGTAAACAGATTGATAACTTTGCTTGAAGATCTTGGATTGCAGTTGTAGATGATGAATAAGCAATTATATGGCAGCTCGCTGAAGAGACGTCCTTCCTTCATGGCGCGGGGGCTGGAACTGATGTTGAGAGGGCGTGTCTAGCCCTTTTGGATGGCGGGTAGATGTCAAACTCTCGGCCAATCACGGCTCTCGGTCTCTTCTGTGAGCTGCGAATAGTAGGATCGTATGCTGACATCTGTTGAAGTGCTCGATTATCAATCTGTTCAATTTTAAGGAATAAATTTTGACTATGTTTTTTGATAAGATAATCAACAGGTTTAATGTTAAGGTCCGAATGAATCACATCTGTACGGACGTACCAGGCTGCGTTTAGGGCCATACGTAAAGTTTTACTTTGAAAAGATTGAAGTTTTTTCACATGAGTTTTTGCAGCAGTACCCCCAGATTGTACATGCATACATAAAGACAGGTCTTATAATTGATGTATAGAGAAGGAATTTTTTTTGTTTTTAATTGACAGATTGGCTCTTTCGAGCTAAAAATGGGTAAAGTTGGGCTCTAGCACCTTTTCGCTTTGTTGAGAACATTTTCAATGTGAAGGCGCCAGAGTTAATTTTGAATCAAGTACAACTCCTAGGTACTTGTAAGAGTTTGACCAGGGAACATAGTCATCAAAGAATTTAATATTAATGGAAGGGTACGGGAGGGGGCTACGTTTGAATATCATAGCAGCACATTTAGCAACATTAATTTTTATTTTCCAAGTGATGAGCCAGTGCTCAAGGCTAGAGAGATATCTCTGAATGATTTGGACCAAGTTTTCAAGGCGTTTGTGTTGAGCTAGGATGGCCGTATCATCTGCATAAAGTGCAAGAGTGATACTAGGTGATTTTGGTATGTCATTTATGAAAATGTTGAACAAAATTGGGCCTAAAAGTGACCCTTGGGGGACGCCGCTGAGTATAGGACGGGGTGCCGAAATGAAAGAATTAACTCGTACAGAAAAAGATCTATTAGTGAGGTACGAATTAATTATGTGAATTAAATGGGCCGAAACGTCAAGTCGTATGAGCTTGATAATAATTCCTATATGCCAAGTCCTATCAAATGCTTTGGCTATGTCAAGAAATAAAGCGCCAGTAAGCATTTTGTTACGAAACCCTTCGTGAATGAACTCCACTGTCCTCAGCAGCTGGTGCGTGGTGCAGTGTTTTACTCGAAATCCAAATTGTTCATCAATCAGAACGTTGTGATTTCGGAGAAAATCATTCAGGCGTTTAAGTAACACAAACTCGTATATCTTTGATAACGAGGATAGGAGGCTGATAGGTCTATAATTTTGAGGGATTTGAAAGGCTTTGGCCTGGTTTTGGAATAGGCACAATAAGTGCTTGTTTCCAGCTTTGAGGAAAATAGCAATGCTGTATCATAAAATTTATAAGCATTACTAAGAAAAATAGATAACTGGTGGGTAAATTTTTAATCATACGATTAGAAATAGAGTCCATACCTGGTGCTTTTTTGGGTTTGAGCTTGGTAATGTATTCATTTACCTCGCTCATGGATGTGTACTGTATTTTCTCTCGCAAAAGGAGAGGAGAAGAAAGCGTTCAACATCTTGTGGGAAAGAATTTGCGCTGTTCGCAAAAATTCCTTCATTATGTGGTGTAAATTGAGTTTGAAGAGAATCCGCAATTAATTCGGATTTCTCAGCGTCTGTGTGAGCCACCACTGCGTCCGTAGCTAAGGACGGAATGTTAGATTTGTGTTTGCGTAGGCGGGCTGATGCGCGCCAAAGACTGTTATCATTGGTCGTTAGGGACTGAATGTAATTTGTGTATTGTGATTGGAAAGAAATGGTCACATGATGCCTTGATCTCATTTTGGAGAGTACGGAGTTGAATTTTTAAATCAGGATTCCTATTTCTTTGCCAAAGTCTCCGTACTTTATTCTTTTCTTTAATTTTGAGTTTAATTTCTTGTGGTAATTTACGAAAATTGGGTCTGAGGGTGGGTTTTGATACTTCCTTATAAGTATCTGTTAAAATGGTCGTTAAATGATCAACTGCCGAGTCTATATCATGGCTGGATTTAATTTCAAGGGAGGGCAAATTTTTACTTTTAAGTTTGAAACAAAAATTGTCCCAGTTTGTAGAGACGAGTGCCGGAGAATTTTGATTAAAAATAGTACAGTTAAGGTCTATGATTACGGGGTTGTGATCTGAAGATAAACAGTTTTCAACAGTCACGTGATATCCAAAAGGGATGTTTCGAAAGAGTGCCAAATCAATGAATGAAGGGGCACCCCGTGAACCATATCTAGTAGGGCGCAATAATTTTAATTTGGGCGCACTGAGCCCATTTTAGAAGGCCACGACCAGCAGGGTTTGATCTATGACAACGCCAATGCTGGATGGTGACAATTTAAATCACCAGCTATGATTAGATTGTTGGATAAGGTGAGCAATTTGTTAAAATCAACCACAGGTAAATTTCCACCTGGTGGAAGATAGGCAGAGATCATTACAAGGGAGGGCGAATTTTGAATGAAAATTTCGATGATTGTTGCCTCGAGTTTACTCATACTCGGAGTGTCAATTCTTTTGTGTGGTATTGAATTTTTAATATAGACACAAGTGCCACCATGATAAACATCACGAGTATTAGAAGCTTGTCTGTCATTTTTATATAATGCATAATTTGCAAGCTTGGGAGCTCTCCCTGGCTGGAGTTTGGTCTCTTGGACAAAAATAATGTCAAAATCTTTCTCTTCCACATAGTCTCTAAACTCATGGAATTTGGATAGAATGCCATTTGCATTCCAGGTGCATAGTTTTAAGTTTTTCAATCCTTTCAAAGTATTGAATTTTACTGTCTGGGGATATCAGAGAATTGGAGAGTAATATAACTCTCAAAGATGTAGTAAGCCGCGTCAGCACCAGATGGAGCCACTCTGAGCTGCGGTAAGGCGTTTTTGAATGCCAAAAGAAGTCTGCTCTGGTCAATACCAGGCTGGTTTGAAATTTGAATAATTGCCAAAAGGATTTCGGTGCAATTTAGCGTCGAATTAGCTCCTAAGGGGACCGATAAATTTGGAATAATTTGGGGTGCAGTCTGTTGCATACCCGTAAGTGCTGCGGAGAAAAAAACTCCAGGGCGAATATTATTTGCACTGGGTGTGGGTGCAGCCGACAGTGTTGGGAATTGGATGTTGTTTTTGAGATTAATATTGTTTGCGTTGGTTTTTTCAGCGGTCAGGCTGGGTTTGGTGCTAGGTTTCGGATTTGATCTATTTTTTGAACCAGGAAATCTTGGGCAGGAACGCCAGTTAGCCGCATGATTCCCGGAGCAGTTTGCACATTTGTTCGGCTCTTCAAATGGTTTCGGGCAGTCTTTGGCTTGGTGTGGACCAGCACATTTCACACAGCGTCTTGGGAGCGTGCACACTTCGGACGAGTGAAAGAACCCTTGACAGCGCCAGCACTGTGAAGGGCCTTTCTGGCCTTTGAAATGTTCCATAGCAACTTCGGTTCCCAGTAGCTCCGTGATATTGTAAATTTCAGTCTGCTTTCAGGCTATTGTATATCTGTAGGTAGAACAAGGGCATCGGCATCTTAGTTTTCCATCTTTTGAGCTGTGAGATTTTATGGATTTTGAAACTGAGAACTTCCACCGCAATCTGCACAACACTGAGTGGTGTGTTTGAGGGTAATCCCCTAATAACTATTTTAAGTGGTCTGTCTGATTTAAGAGTGTGTGATTTAAATTCTATGTTATTGTCAGTTAAAAATCTAACGACAGTCCGGTAATCTGTTTCATTTAAAGTGTTGAGTTTGAGAAAGTCAATGTTCTGTTTTGATTGGACTGTCGGTGCGTGACGTTTTTAAGTTGGTTTTAGAAGAAAGTACCAATCAGCACGAGGCTTGATAAAAATTGGTGGAGGTGCCTGTACTTTTGGTTTTTGGGTGTCTGCCGGCTGCTGAGTAGTATGTTCTGTATTGTCAGTATTTGTTTGGATAACATTGAAAGAGTTTGTAGTAGCTATGTTAGTATTATTTTCAGTAGAGATATGTTTGGTTTGGGATTTTTTAGCTATTAAGTGTTTAGGTGGTATGACAAACCCTTCAGCATCAGTAGGGCGAGTACGTTTTTTATTATCAGACTTTGGAGTTTCAGGTGTGATTTTAGTGTTTTCAGTAGGGGTGGTTTTAGTAGAATTTGGAGTGATGGGTTCCGAAATATTAGGTTTTGAAGATTTGGACTGACATTCTTTAAAGAATTCGTCTTCTGTGGCAGGGAGGGTAAATAAGTTAACTCCGAGGTTAGTACATAGAGTGTGAAGTGAAAATAAAATTCTCTCACCCTCGTCAGTCATCTGTTTGATCATCAGGCCTTTGGCGGGATTATCAGAACGCTGAAGTCTCTGAATAACGAAAAGCAAGTCCGTGTGACGATTTTTCAGTGCATAGATTTGGATGGCACTCTTTGATAATTCCATGGCTGAAGGAGAAGCAGGTGGAGGAGCAGTAGTATCCATGTCAGTATTTATCCGTAGTTGAGAAGAGGCAGCGGTAGAAATACCAGCTGGCGGCGCCGTATTAGTGTTATCGTTGCCGTGCAGGAGCTCTGAGCTCTTACGACCATCGCTTTCTTCGTCCATGACGAGAATCCTGAATCTGATTGCTGAAAGCAAGGGAGCAACGGTCATATTTATACCCTACGACGGTAAAGCGAACAAAGAGCTAGCGCCATCTAGAGATACTGCACTGCCGTAGAGAATAAATACAACCGTTGCGCCGGAAAAAAAAAAAAAAAAAAAAAAAAAAAAAAAAAAAAAAAAACGCTGAATGGTTTTAGATTTTAAATTACGTCCAAATGGGCGGTTTTTTTTTTTTTTTTTTTTTTTTTTACGTTTTGTGTGTTACCTTTATTTATTAAATAGCATGTTCCTCGCACTTAAACCATAAAATTCAGTTCAATAGCAATGTCACAAAATAATTCTAAAATGAGCATATCTATAGAATTCCCGATACACAGTTCCGCGCGATGGAGATAAAAAGGTTTTCTTTTCCCCGTAGAGTTTTTGCCATTGCTCGCTTGTAAATCGTTGAGTTTGTTACTCAAAAATTCCCTCAAGTTTTACGAAATATGAAATCGATCATAAAACAAATTTCAAATTTGTTCTTTCTCATACCCATATTCGCAGTAGGATTACGTCATTCAAAATTCGATGGTTCTATGTACCATTGTTCCATCACAATGCGAGAAATAGACATACATTGATGCAGATTTTTCAATATTTAATTTCTCCAAATATAATGCAGGACTCTAACATTGGGTGGCAACAGTTTGAAAAGTTAAACGGACATTTATAGTGATTCAACGCAAAATCGAAAAACGAAAACAATAATCATTCAGGTACAAAAATAGGAAGTCCTTCAGGGACTTCCTATTTTTAGTCTCTTTTGACTAAAATTAGGACAGTTCTATATCTCCCGCTCTAGTGGCCCTATTGACAAAATTCAACTTGAATTCTTCATGTCTCGGAAGCACGACTTAGGATATGTATTAGATTTATACATATCATTCTTCTAATATAGGTATTTTGACATAAAATCGAACTTTTCTGAATTGACATGCCAATTTTTTCCCATATTTCGATTTTACGACTCAAATTATGTCAAACTGCCAAGTTTTATAAAAATCGCGAGAGTACTTTTTTAAAAATTAGCTCTCAAAATTTTAGCTCCTCAATGTTAATTAAATCTGATATATATTTATTATATCTCTTTTTATTACAATTTCTTGATTCTTTCTTTCATCTTTCGAAATTTAGGTTCATTTCAAACAAATTCTCTTACGCTTGATGATTTATTTTTAAATAATTTTTATGAATTTTTTAAAAAAAAATTTATTGTACCCTCATCTTAAAGAAGATGCATTTCTAAGCACACGTGAAAAAAATTAGAATTTTTGTTCATAATTTCGTAAGACATACGTGAATTTACATTTTGGCTCGTTTTGAAATTTGGCGTATATATTATAAGCGATAATAAGAAAAATGTAGTTTACGTTGTTTGTTAAAATTATTTGAAATATAACCGATGACGTTTTACCCCCGCACATGGAGAATGAAGAAAAAGGAAAGGAAAATAGGTTGCTATAATTTAAGAACCTCGCCAAGTGAAATATTCTTGGCGCAAACTGAAAAAAAATCGCCTAGATAAATTTTTAAATTTCTCCATAAATTTATCACCAAAAATTACAAATTTTAATATCTAGGCATAATTTAAATTGTAGAATCGAAAAATGGCAAAACTTTAGTACCTTTTTTGAGAAAAAGTTCGATTTTATGTCAAAATACCTATGTTAGAATGATACTCTATATAAATCTAATATATATCCTAAGTTTACACGAAAATGCAATTTGAATTTCGTCGATTGGCCCAGTAGATCGAAAGTTATATAACTGTTCTTCCCCCTTTTTTTTAGTCAAAAGGGCCTTTGTCCGTGAAGAACTTTTGTGATTTTGCGTTGATTCACTATAAATGTCCGTTTCGCTTTTCAAACCGTTGCCACCAAATATTAGAGTCCTGCATTATATTTGAAGAAATTAAATAATGAAAAATCTGCATAAATGTATGTGTATTTCTCGCATTGTGATGGAACAACGGTGCATAGAGCCATCGAATTTTGAATGACGTAATCGTACTGCGAATATGGGCATGTGGAAGCCCAAATTTGAAAATTGGAATTTATTTTATTATCGATTTCCTATTTTGTAAAACTTTAACGAATTTTTAATTTACGAACTCAAGGATTTCAAAGCGAGCAATGGCAGTGTTGTACAGAAAAAACAGTTTTATTTACAAAGCGCGAGACTCTGTATCGAAAATTCTAAAGTTATGCTCAATTTAAAACTATTTTGCGATATTGCTCTTGAATTGAATTTTATGGTTTAAGTGCAAAGAACGTGATATTTGAACGTGATGTAGAACGTGATGAAGGTAACAGACAAAATGTTAAAAAAACGGCCCTTTGGTCGTAATTTAAAATCTGAAACTTTTCAAACTTCCCCCCCCCCCCGCAGTGTATCTGTTTTCTTCAAAATCCGTTCAGTTCTTGACTAAATCTACTCCAATCATAAGATCGTTGCTTTGCTAATTTTATATTGGCTAATGGTTAACAGGAATATTTAGCAAGTAGACGATATCTGAGGTTTGAATCTCGACGACGGCGCAGCTGATATTTCATGTTTTGTGCTTTGAAAAGTCTAAAGGTGATCTATAATGGCGCTCGATCGCTTCAGTTACCCTTTCAGGGGGGAGATCCCCTATGCATGCTGTCGTGGGTGTGAGGACAAACCTTAGGTGTGAACGTCGATAGTTCGTCGCTATCGACTAGGTGATGCTTTTTATAAAAGAAATTACCTTAAAAGTTATCCCCTCTCTTGAACAGCTGCCATGCGAAGCAAAACGCAGTAGCGTCCCGTCGCCTGTCTTACTTTTCATCCAGAGACGAAAAAGAAATTGGTCAGATGGCATCTTTACACAAAATATCACTGCTTCGATAGCCATTCACTATCAAAGTTCACATGTGAGGCTTATCTTCACATGTGAACGTTCTGCGGCACAGCTAAACTAAAAAATAATTATCATTTAACTATATTTTATACGATTAATATTATTATTTTAAACAACCATATAATTTAGATCTTCACTGTCACTTCTCTTTTCCATTTTAGTACCAGAACGAAAATCAGGCTTAAGTGTATTTAAGGTGAGGTTTTTTAGGATTGTAAGACTGAGCGGGGTGTTTCTGCCTCTCAAAGCCATATTACTACCTTTAGCAGCTCTGATAAGATTTAATTCTTCGGCTTCGCATTATATTTGATGGCATTTAAATTGTTATGCCAGCAATAACAATTATTTAAATTGTTATTAGAAGTTTGAGCCAACTTAGCGTTCAATCAGTTATATAGTCTTTACCTAATAGACTTCGCTTAAATTTGACTGTTACATTAAGTTACATCGCCACAATTGTTTGGTGGACTATTATCAAGCACTACATGTGCATAGGTTAATTTTAATTTAATAAAAAGATTCGTTAAACATTCTTAAGATTCTACAGCTCTTTTCAGCCATACTGATAACTCGCGCTGCATCTGCAGGGAGTTTATGCTACCAAAGAATACCAAATTCTAGAATTTTATTACAGTGGGATAAGTGGTTATCACGTCCAACTAATAAATGGAAGATTCAGAGTTCGAATACCGGCCAGACCACAGTTGATTTTTCTTTTCTTTTCTTTTTTTCTTTTTTTTTTAATGTTTTCTGCTTCCAAAGACATAAATGTTTTTACAAATTAAACGAGCACTTTAAACAAAATACAAAGCATAATTTTTGACAAAATTGAAAGCTCAAATTATATTTCTTTGCTTAAAGAATTAATTTAATTTAATTTCAAACAAATAAAAAAAGAACTTAAATTTTGCTTAACTAGGTCTTAAAAGTTAACAATTTTTATCACTTTGGGCTAAAAATTGCTAATTTTATTTAAGGCTATTAATTTTGTTTTGGCATTTTGCGTTAGTTCACTATAAACGGCGTCACACTTTTCAATTTGTTGCCACCAAATATTAGAACCCTGCATCATATTTAAAGAAATTAAATAATGAAAAATCTGCCTGAGTGTATGTATGTTTCTCGCACTGTGAAAAACCTAGAGACACCAAATTTTGAATAACGTAGTCCTCCAGTCGAATATATGGGAATTTGGAATTTGTTTTACTCTCTATTTCATATTTTTTAAAACTTTAAAGAATTTTTGATTAACAAACTTCAACGCTTACAAAGGGAGCAATGGCAACACTGTACGAAGAATTTTTTTTTTTACTATTATTCTCTCCAGCGCACGAGACTGTGTATCGGAAATTCTAAAGGATATGCTCATTTTAAAATTATGTTGCCATAATGTACTGTTGAAATGAATTTTATGGTGTAAGTGCTAAAAACATGCCATGTTTAGAAAATAAAGGTAACCACACAAATACGTAAAAAAAAAAAAAGTCCTTTTGGGCGTAATATATACTCTAAAAAATTTCAGATTTTCTTAAATTTTAATTTGGCCTTTTTTTTTTTTTTTTTTTTTTTTTGTTTTTGATATAGTAAAAAACTTTATACAAAAGTCTACATTTTGGGACGAAATAGAATGTTAACATCTATTTTTATAACTAAAATTAAATTAAAACGGTTTATAGGCATTGAATAATCAATTAATAAAATTAATACTATAAATCTAGGACTTATTATCAACGAAAAACTTAAAAACTAATAACGTTCTTAGTTTTTGCCCTGCTTAGAAGCTAGAATTCCCAATATCTAGAATTTAAATCCAATAACTTTTCTATATTAATTTTACGACTAGAGTTCAAAGTACTTTGAAAATTTAGAACTCCAAATTCTAATTTTTCTATGCAATGAAAATGAAAGAAGTGTTATTGGAGGCCAATAACATTTAGGAAGTTGAAAAAAATGAAATCTCTCTTCTACTCAAAACCGATTTATGTATTAGAATTGTGTTGTGTCAGATTCATATTGTACAAAAGAAGAACGCTCGATTTTGGCAAGTCATTTCTTTTACAGCACAATGCTTTTCGTAGAAACCTTTCGCTTTGCAATATTCTTTACTGAGTATAAAGACTTTGCGACACTTTTTTTTTTTTTTTTTGGTCATTTCAGAAGTAAATTTTGATCCTCGGTCAAAATTTACTTAGTTTTCCCGTTACAATTTGAAGAATATTTTCACTGCCTAGGTAAAGTAAGTCAAGTAAGTCAACTTGTTTTAATATTTTGCGTCTATCTTTCTGGTAAACATTAATAACTATACTTTTATTTACTTACCACTCTGGTTGGCTGTTTAATTACTTTTTACCACCCGAAGCAAACATTCCTGAAGAAATACGCTCTATCATTTCCCGCAGTGTATGTTTTAATGCTTGTTATTCAAAGCAAAATGCATAGCCGTACAATAGAGTTCAGTTTACATAATCTAGAAATTAAATTTCTATCAAATGCTTATTATAGCAAATTAAATAAATAAATGAAATTTAACATTTGCAATGCGGGAAACATAGCGACATCTTTAGACATCTACAGAAAATAAAAAAAAAAAATCTGATATGTACACCACATGACTTCCTTGTACAGAATATTAAATTATATGCATTTTTTTTTTTTTTTTGCATTTCCTTTAAACTAATTGGATTGAATTAAATCTACTTCGTCAATAGCGCATAAACCACAATAGAAGAAATGCACTCTTTAAAATTCACTCTATTTGTTTACCATAGCGACACTCTGGCGCTAGGTTCACTTACCCGTATTATATTTCGTTCATATTATAACTCAAAATGAACAAAATTGATATCATTTCAAGAATTATCTAATCGTTGCCACATGTTCTATTCAAATACTATAATAAAGCTTAAAACGATGTATAAAGAAATTAAGCAAACAACAATCAAAAAATGAAACAATTTTTCACAGACGATTGAGTATTTCTCATTCAATTAATCCAGTTTCTCACTTCGCGAGAAGGCAAAATACATAAAAACTCAAAATATCTGTATTAAAAATTACAAAGTGAATCTTAAACACTTATTTCCTCGAAAAAAATTCCAGAAAGGATTAAGCATGATTTAATTAGCAATAATGAATGAAGGCGTCATCTTTGTTGTTGCGAAGCTAAGTATCTCTAGATTGGGAACAAATCCACTATCCTGCTGTTTCAAATGTAAACAAGCAATGGCCGCCATCAAAAAAATTATTAGGCTTAGTGGCACTTAAAGAACTTTAAAATTGTTGATAATTCTAAAAATATTGCATACAGATATACTAAAGGCATAAAATCCTTAACCGGAAAATAAGAACAACATAATTCAATCATTTTTAAAGCAAAAAATGTACAATTTACAAACATATAAGAGTAAAGAAACTGAGATCACTGAGCTGGGTAACAGAGCAGATATTTATGTAAATATATTTATATACGTTTGGTGCGGCCGATTGCAACCAAAATACGAGGGGCAAATCTGCATGTTATAGTAGTCCTATATACAAAATTTCAACGTTCTGAGGCTACTCGTTTTTGAGTTAAGCGAGATACGTACGTACGTACGTACATGCGTTCGTACAGACGCCACGAAAAATTCTCTTCAGAATTCATTTTAAAGCAGTTTTATAATTTTTTGGAGGAAAAGAGTATTTTATTCTTTCCTTACGTACAGATATCATACAAAAACATCGTTAAATTGCATTCGATAGCGGTCAAACTGGATATTTTCGTTGAAATATGCTGCCTGAAACTTTTCGCGATTACAATACTTCCTTTTTACTTCGTACAAGGAAGTAAAAAGACATCTTTAGAATTTTGGATAGACAGTCTCGTTGGCTGGAGATAATTTTTTTTCCCGTAGGGTGTTGCCACTTCTCACTTTGAAATCGTTAAAAAATTCTTTGAAGTTTTACAAAATATGAAATAGATAATAAACAAAATTCGGTATTTCGTGCTTCCTGGTTCCCAGGTTCCTATTTTTAGGTGGAGGACTAAGTTACTAAAAATTGGATGGTCCTAGGTACCGTGGTTTCTTCCATGCATACATGCATATATTCATGAATATTCTTCATTATTTAATTTCTTTAAATATAATACAAAGCGATATTATTTGGTGGCAACAATCTGATTAGTGATAAACCATTTATGAGAAAACCGAGTCCAAACATTGATAAAGTACTTAATGATTTTGCTTTCTTAACGGTTAGAAAATAGGTTTTTGTAATTCAGATTTGAAAAATAAAGTATGATGTATAATTTGCTAATAAACATTTTACGTTAATTATACAGCCTAAGTTTCATATACGCTGCATGACGTCAAATAGCTTCGGATATCCTATTCTTATTGACTTAATCGGATTCAACATGAATCAAAAATAGCATGTAATTGAATAGATCAAAGAGGCGTTTATAAAAAAGACGTTTTCATTTCATAAAAAATTAATTGGATGAAAATGTACAAAGCTACCTTAATTTGTAAGAAATTTATTGTTAATTAATCGGTTATTATGATTTTTAAGTCTCATGTCTTGCTAGACGATGCTTTAAAAGACCCCAAAAACATTTTGAGCTAGCCGAAGTAATATGTTTTATGCGTAATCTTAGACGCTATTATCTATATTTGAATTTAATTTTTGTTATGTTTATTAAATGCTCACAAGAAGTAAAGCTTCATCTCTAGCAGAAACCGTGTCTGTTCTGCTCAATTACAGACAAAATAGAAAGGTTATTTCAACCTTCTTCAGTATGTTCTTATGTGATGCTCGGTTTTTGATAACATTTTTTTTTTTAAGAGTCCATATTGTAGATCGGTTGGGGTCCATATTGTAGATCAGTATGATCAATATGATCATAAGGCAGGTCAGTTGAGTTTCAGTTACAGAAGAACCTTTCAAATTATTAGTAAAATTATAAAGTATTTTCTTACTTCTTCTAGCACGTCTTCGTGGTGTAACGGTAGCACATTTGACGCGTATTCGAGAAGTCTAGCTTCGAATCGCGGCGAGGGCATTGCTAATTTTTTACTCCTTTTTAATAAAAAAAAGCTGATGTGTGCACCACGACTTCCTTGTACGGAAAATATTGAATTATATGCATTTTTTCTTGCATTTCATTTAAATTTTATTGGAATGAATTAAATCTACTTCGTCAATAGCACATAAACCACAATAGAAGAAATGCACTCTTTAAAATTCACTATATTTGTTTACCATAGTGACACTCTGGCGCTAGGTTCACTTAACAACGTTACATTTCGTTCATATTATAACTCAGAATGCATATAAATTTATATCATTTGAAGAATTCTCTAATCGTTGCCATGTGTCCTATTCAAATACTATAATAAATCTAAAACAATGTATAAAAGAAATTAAGGAAACAAATCAAAAAAGAAACAGTTTGTTTTTGCACAGACGATTCAATATTTCTCGTTCAATTAATTCAGTTCTCATTTCCCGACAAGGCAAAATACATAAAAACTCAAGATACGATATTAAAAATTACGAAGTAAATCTTAAACACATATTTCCTCGAATAAATTTCAGAATAGATTAAGTATGATTTAATTCGCAATAATTAAAGAAGGCGTTATCTTTGTTGTTGCGAAGCTTAGTTTCTCTAGATTGGCAACAAACCCGCTATTTTGACAAGTTTAAAATATAAACAAACATGTCCGCCATCGTAAAATTAATCAGGCTTAGCTGCACTTAAACAGCTTTTAAATTGTTGATAACTCCACAATTATTGCATGCAGATTTATGAAAGGTATAAAAAATTTACCGGAAGATAAGAACAACATAATTCGATCATTTTGTAAGCAAAAAATAAACAGTTTACAAACATATAAGAGTAAGTTAATTGAGATCACTGAGCCGGGAAACAGAGTGGATATATATATATATATATATATATATATATATGCATACATATATTTATACATTTTTAGTGTGGCCAATTGTAACCAAAATACGATTTGCACATCTACATGTTATAGCAGTCCTGTATGCAAAATTTCAACGTTCTGGGGCTAGTCGTTTTTGAGTTATGCGAAATACGTACATACAGACGCCACGAAATATTCTCTTCAGAAGTCATTTTAAATCAGTTTTATTATTTTTTTTGGGGGGAAAGAGCCTTTTCTTCTGTCCTTACGTACAGATGTCACGTAAAGCATCTTTAAATTGCATTCGATAGCGGTCAAAATGGGTATTATTGTTGAAATATGATGCCTGAAACTTTTCGCGGTTATAATACTTCCTTCTTACAAGGAAGTAAGAAAACGTGATGACTGTGCAAAATGATCAATCATAAGTTTTTGAGAGAAACAATGAAGGGCGAGCCTAATTATCATTTGCTGGCCCGGAACCCTCAAATCTCTAGTTACGAGCCTACTCAACAACATATTCATATTTATTTCTGCTGAAAATATACTAAGCTTAGAGGTAGCTAAATTTAGAGGTGAGAAACAGGAAATGGAAATTTGTTTCATATATTCATGGATGAAAATTTAATACTCACCTCCACCATTGTTGTAAGCAACATTGGGAAATCTCCACACGTTTCCTAATCCTACTGACATTGAAATGCAGAGTAAAAGGCTTTGTATGCTCTTGGCCCAAACGCCACGTTCTGGTACATCTTTGTTGTCTTTATCTTCCGCATACTGATGAGGAAAACAACATATTGTACATCAGAATTTACTGAATTAGATTTTAATTCATTAACTGCAGTGTACTCAAGATTACTCTGTGTTATATTGAAGAATTGTTATAGTAAAACAATGTTATAATACAATTTAATAAGAAGAATATGCTATGGAATTACAAAAATTAATTTATGATGCAATTTACGATGTGTGCCCAGTCAACAAGTAATCTTAAAATAATGTAAATACATTACGCGCATAGAATGCAATAAACTGATTTTAAAATTATCATAAATGCTATATTCTTTTAACCTATTACTAGCAAATTAAAATAACAGCCAATTTTTTTCCATCTTTCGATTCTACGGCTCAAATTATACCAAACTGCCAAGTTTTTTAAAAATCGTAAGAGCGGTTTTTAAAAAATGAGCTCTCGAAATTTTAGCTCCTCCATGTTAATTGAGTTTGGTATATATTTATTAATCTCTCTTTTTTATTATACTTATTTGATTCTTCCTTTCACTTTTCGAAATTTAGTTTCATTTCAAATAAAATTCGCCCCTTTTTTATGATTTATTTTTAAAATTTGTACTTTTAAATAATTTTTGTAAATTTTTCGAAAAAAACTTTTTAACTATAATCTATAGAATTTTTACCATCATCTTAAAGTAGTCGTATTTCTAAGCATATCTGTAAGAAATTAGAGATTTTTATTCAAAATTTCCGAAAGTATACGTGAATTTATAGATTGGCGCGTTTTGAAATTTGGCATATTTGTTGAAAGCGATAAAACATCAAATATGGTTTAGGCACTTTGTTAAAATTATTTGAAAGTAGGAATGATGTGACTTTTTCCCTCTCCTGCATAATGGAAGGGAAAAGGAAATAGGTTTTCATATTTTAAGAAGATTGCCAAGTGAATTATTCTTGGCGCAAACTGAAAAAAAAATACTCCAAAATATTTTTTTTTTAAATTTCCATATAAATTTCTCACTAACAATAACAATTTAATATCTAGGCATCATTTGAGTCGCAAAATCGAAATATGGAAAAACGTTGATATGTTATTAAGACATAATAGCACCCCGAATAAATGCTAATTCAGAAGTCAAACAACAAAAATCAGCGTTATATTTTCAAAATTTTTGCAGGACTAGTTTCGATGGTTTTACCGAACCACCATTCTCAGCTGCAAAACCGCAAATGAACAAGATAGGAAATAATGACTAGATAAGATAAGAAAGTCTGGACAGGAATAAGCAAGTGGCGCCATCTGTTGATGAAACCAAAACTAAAACATAATTTTGATTTTGGTCGGAAAAATATGTTTTAGTTTTGGTTTCTCATGTATTATTTCTTTTTCTTAGCAGTTACTAAATTCACTTTCCTGATTGAGTGACATATTGCTAATGACACAATACAGATTTCCCCACCATTTTTCCATTTTTTCCAGTTCTTGAGTGTTCCATTCATACCCAATACACACAAATTACGTACGATCACGAGACACGAGTCCATCGGTCACGATCCTGCTAAACAAACTGCAGACGAAATATTGAACACACTCACACACACACACACACACACACACACAAAAAAAAAAAAAAAAAAAAAAAAAAACTTTACTACTGATCTATTCTTGAATCTATTTACATTATTTTTTTTAAGTATGAAGCATCCACTCGAACTTCTGCCTAATTTATTTTTAGAGGACAGGAGATGGTGAGCGTATATAATGGCAAGACGTATTCTTAAGGGGACGGCGGACTTTAAAAATTAGTTTTTTAAGTTTTTGTGTTTTCAACAAGAAATTTTATACATACACGTATTATAACATCAGTTTATAACATATATGTTTAAAATTTTAATTTATTTATAAGAAATACACTAACCCAAACGGGTTTTCTCCCTCGTCTGACGCGTTGCTGGCTGTCACCTTGATCACATCCGGAGGAGTAGGGACGACTTGCAGAAATTTAACATTGGTTGCCTATTGCAGCGTGTATAATTTGTCAAGAAAAAGCTGGTTCTAGCCCCTCATTTCACAAATTAGAATTTCTATATATTTTTATTTTTGAAATTGAGATTGATTTTTAAAAATTTAGCATATTTATCAAGCATAATTTACGTTCCAAATAATTATAAAGCTACTGCATGCTTTCAGGACTGGATATTTTTTAGCTTTTCCTATGCTGTAAGGAAATTAGTAACAACTTCTTTTAGAAAATAATATTTTAAATCTGAACTAATAAAAAAATTTCAAACAAGCAATTTTCTCTTGCAATTTTGATGCTTTTTATTGGTGTAAATAAGTAAAAAATACTAAAATATTTAAAACCGGATTTTTGAAAGTTTTGTTTAAAATTTTAAATTGTGCTGCTTTTTTAAAATTATAGATGAGTATTATAGCACAATTTCTATAAAGGAATTTTATTTCAATTATATTTCATAATACATTATAGTGATAAAGACTTTTGACTCCTTAAAAATTTTTATACATTTAATTCTAATATTAAAATTGTATTTAACCGTAATAATTAATTTTGCTTGTATTTTATAGTGATTATTTTTTAAATTTATTTTTAGGTTTGCATAAGATTTTTTTTATTTACTGTTAATTTAATTTATTAGCCCAAAGGGGCGTAGACTAGAAAGGCTGTTAGTTTCGAAGCGGCATTTTGCGCTGTTTTACTATAAATGTCCGTGTCTCCTTGCAAATTGTAGTTACCAAATATTGTCGCCGTGTATTATATGTAAAGAGATTAAATAATGAAGAATCTGCATGAATACACGTATGTTTCTCACACTGTGACAAAAAGGACAGTATCTAGAGTCATCAAATTTTGAATAATATAATCCTCCACCCGAACAAAGGCATGTGGACGGCCGAATTTCGAATTTATTTTAATCTATTTCATATTTTGTAAAACTTTAACGAATTTTGGTTAACAAACTCAACGAGTTCAGATCAAGCACTGTACGGAAAATAACAGTTTTATCTCCAGTGCGGAAATTCTAAAGATATGCTGTTTTCAAATGTATGTGGTTTACGGACGAAGAACATGATATTCAATAAATATAGGTAACACACAAAACTCAAAAAAAAAGAGTGCTTCTAGATTTTATTTTATCTTTTTTTTTCCCCCTTCATTACGCTCAGAAAATTTTATGCTCCGAATTTTATGAATTATTAAAATAATTAATCCCTTTTATGTTAATAATTTAACGATCATATAATCAAATAAATATGATCGTTTTGTAATATTATTATAGTTTAGAAAATCACTGCCTAAAAATGTTCATTAAATTTCAAAAAAAAATTATCAGATTTCGTTTAATTTTACCTTATTTATTTCAAAGCATCGCGTACTATCAATCTTACTTAATTTTACTTTATTTTTACGCAAAATTACGTTCATAAATTTTGTGCTTAGAGTTTTTACCGTTTTACCAAAATAAAGATGTTTATACAAGAATTACAAAAACAAAAACAAAAAAAAAAAAAAAAAAAAAAAAAAATGCGCGAAATGCAGTAAAAAGTGCTTGAATGAGATATATTAAATCCTATTTGGAAAAAGCTGTGGCTTTCGCAATCTCATCACTATACAGCGTATCACATGTGATAATTAAAAAGAGTTATGTGATACAAACGCCATAGGTTTCAGTGTTAAAGTAAACTAGATCGTCCCTACTCTTTCTTGCCGACATGTCGGTGACGCGCGCCCCGCCCACTGGGTTAGTCCATTTCTTATAAAGTCCATGTTATTTATCGTCTGTCACCGACTAGGTCACGTGACTGGCGGCAGAGAAAAAGAATGTAGTATATTAAATGTTTATTTATTCACATATATCTTTTAGTTTAGTTTGAATTTGACGCTTGAAATGATCTGTTTCTTGGCCGCATAGCGGTAATCAACAATTATAATAATTGTTCTTGATTAACTAATCTTGACCCTATGATGGGAAATTTATATTATTTGTAAATTTTGTGTTTTGAATAATGTAAATAATGTACATACGCTCTTCATTAAATATTTCTGTGTTCCAACTGGAAGTTCTTATTTTCAAGTTGAGTTCTACGTGAAAATGGTATATTGACTCTTGATATACTAGTATATTCTTGATTAAATTGATGCTATCCCAACTCGTGAATAAACGAGAATCTTGAATCGTGATCATAACGTTCAAGTTTTACACAGTCACCTTTTGTTAAAGATTATCACAAATTTAAACTTCTTAATAACCTCATATCCGAAAATGCATACACAGATCTATTGTAACATATAACAAGATAGTTTCTTCCAAATATCATTCCTTTTTAACTAAAAATGAGACGCGTGGAGCATATTTAAGACATACGAGCTGCGAAAAATTTTGTTTTGAGAAAACCGATTTTAAAGTTCTTCTTCAAACTTACCTTTAATACATGGTCATGAGAAACAGCAAATTAACTTTAAATATGAATATGTAGACACTAGATAACATTTTCGTATCGTTTAACTATTTTTAATTTCATAATATTAATATGCGAAAAATAAACATATCGCAAATTGATGGGTGATTCGAAGTTAGAGGTAGAAACAATTTATGCATTATATCCAATGAAACTTTTAAACTTCACTTCCATCATATGTTTTACCTTCATTTGTTACATTTACATTATGTTTTAATACTTTAAAATATTTTTTTACTATTTCTGGTTTTTCCGAGCAGGTAAACTTCTCGTTTTGCTTTGGTTCCAGCGATGTTAATCATCCTTTTTTGGAACGAGTAGGGAAAACGAGATTGTTTCCTCCTGTTCTAGGCGTATAGCATTCACATAACCAATGTTAAATTCATTAATAGTTGTCAATACTGACATTTATAGCCTTTTTTTTAAACAAATAAACACTTCTTTTGGGCAAATATATAAATTATTACATCAGTAAATAACTGTTGAAATGCGTTGTTTTACACTTTTCTCCAAAATTTAAAGGACAACGTTTACGTTGTTTACACATCTTAAGTGCTTGTAACTTCTTTAAAAATTAGAATATTTGAACTCTGTTTTTTTGCATACGATGTAGTTACGTATATGGAATATTATGAGAGTAAAAAAACAAAAAAACAAATTCAATATTTTGATTGATTTTTAGCTATTTTAAAGTCCACCGTCCCCTTAACCTGAAAAGATCTTTTTTTGGTGAATGAAGATATTTGCCTCAAAACGAAGTTAATCAAAAGATTCTATAGTGGTAAAATTTTGCAAGTTGAAGATTTTTTACTATAACATCACTACAAACATAGGGCAAAAAAGCGTAGCGGCAGAGAGAGGCCAAAGCCTCATTTCCCTTGCCGTACGCCGTCAAAAAAAGCGCGGAAAAAACCGGTTCGGTGAAAATTGAAGCACTTTCACAGAGTGAATTCGATTAAAATTAATTAATCGCAGTTCAAGTGTTAATACTTGCTTACACATTTACACATCCGAGTGCAGATTATTCACACACCTGCACATGCAGAGGTTATTTCCTTTCCAAACTACTTGAAATTTGCAAAATCAGTTCATCTGAATCTTGCTTAACAACATAAATAAGCTAAAGGCGTTTGTTATCGAAAATATTCTGTTTTCAGAAAGTTTAAGTATATTATTTTATTGGCATTAGTTTCACCATTTTTATTTCCAGTAACAAACTTTTAAACGTTAAAGTTAAAAAAAAAAAAAAAAAAAAAAAAAAAAAAACTTCTTACGTAATCAGGATTCGCTTTCGAAAAAGGTAATGTATTCACTTGTAAATCTGGGATGATCTTCTTCGGAAGAGTTTCCAATTCATATGACTGAAATAAACATTTTACTATCATACAGAAAAGCAATTTTAATTTAAAAAGCAATTTCAATTTAAAAAGCAATTTTAATTTAAAAACAATTTCATATTTTAGTATAACTTCAAAATAATCTTCTCGTTAACCAGTTTTAATGTAGCTTTTGACATTATTTATTATTTTAATATACTTGTAATAAAATCTCTACACTAAACGCAGAACTATGAAAAACACATATCCGTCATAAAATTTTCAATTTTAATATTTTTAGAGTGTGGTTGTTTCGCTCCAAGGAAATAAATTAGAAAATAAATTTATTACTTAAATAAATACAAATATTCCTTCTTTTTGTACCAGAAGTATATATCCGAGAAGAAGTTCCCACGCTTAAGTTTCAAAGCTGCCGCCCAACCGGGATAATGATTAGAGACGCCAATCCTGGCCTCGAATCCCGGAGAAGGCATGGATGTTTGTAAATGAGGTATGCGTGTGGTATGAGGGCACTCTAAATTTGCGGCGAGCTAAAATACCTCTCGAGAAGCACGTGGTAGGGAAAGAGGTGTGGGACACCATTAAACCCGTCCCACCGTGGTGCTGCCCATGAAAACTGGGGGTGGAACTGAGCAAAGTCGTGCTATCACCTGTATAGGGTCAAGGCCCTTGCCAACGACAGGCGCAAGCTTGCACTCTTTACCACACAGAATTTTGTAGGCTTGCGCTGATATTACTATCAGACAAGTGAGATAAGGCACAATAACAGTATGTTTTAAAACTTTAAAAAATAATCTATAGTGTAAGTATTTGTACACAAATGATTTCCTAACCTTGATATCCTTCACTATGTTGTTTATGCTACTTCAGATTTACTTAAATCATGAAACCGTGTTAGCTTTGAATAACTACCAGCCATTTATATCCCGTTATGTCTTGAATTACATGAAGATTTAAATCCGGACCTACTCTTTGGAACGTAATCATAAATGATCTCTTAAGTCATCTCGACGGTTGTTTAAAAATTGCGTTTGCAGACGACTTACTATTAATTTTCCAAGGAAGGATTTTGAATAACATTCTTTTGAGAGCACAAGAAGTTCTAGATTTTTGTCTCCAGTTGGGCGATTTCTCATAAACTCACTTTCAATCCTTCAAAAAGTAAAGCTATGCTTGTTCCCAGTACGTTTGATGAACAAATATTGCTTCTTTGATGCTCGATAGTTCTCCGTTGGAATTTGTAGAAAATGTTAAATATCTTGGTGTCATTCTTGACCAAAAATTAACATGGAAAAAGCACATTGAATTCCTTTCTGCTAAATGTGAAAAAATTATTAATGGCTTTCACCGAATTGCCAAAAATACTTTTGGAGTAAGCTACGATGTTAAGAAAATCATGTATAAGCAGTGTATTGTACCTTTCATTTCATACGGCTGTCGTGCTTGGGGAATGTTTTTGCCAAGAAGGTTAACAAAAGAAATTTAAGAAAGATTCAATGGAGAATTCTTCTTCGTATTATTAGTGGTTATAGAGTTATGAGGCTACTTTTGTTCTTGCAGGAGTTCCGCTTTTGATTTTGAAATTGCATATAAGAATAATATTTATGAGTCATTGGCAACTCATGCTTCGGAAGACTGTATTAATGGAATTGTCTCCTTCAGTGATCTTCCTCATCCCGCTTCTTTAGAACCCATAAATTTCTGCGATTATAAAGAGACTGCTGAAATAAGTTTTCATATGGTTTTCTTTACAGATGGCAGCAAGATGAACAACAAGGTTGGCCTTGCATTTGTTCTTTTTGAAGGCCATTCCGAGATTTGTTTTCTTAGACACCATATACGGAATGAATGTACAGTTTTTCAAGCAGAACTTCTGTGCATTTATCTTGCCGTCAAATGGATCCAGGATCATGGGACAACATCCTCAAAGTACCTTATTTGTTCTGATTCTCTTTCTTCTCTTCAACTTTTGAACAATATTACCAGCTGCGATAAATTAGTTATCGAAACCCTAGTAACTGTTAGTTCACTTAGAATTAGAGGTATTGATATATGCTTTACTTATGTGCGCGCTCATCATGGTTTCTACGGAAATGAAAGAGCTGATTTCTTAGCTAAAGATGCCTTAAATTTACCCATTGATATCAACATTAGCATTCCAAAGAGTTATTGGAAGTCCTTTCATTATAAAAAGCTTTTAGCTATGTGGAATGAGGAATACATTTCATCTTGTAATGCTGAAGTCACCAAAATGTTCCTTCCTTCTATTTACCATAGACTGAATTCCGAGTCTTTCCTCTCGTTAAATTTTAAAGTGTCTCAGTTTTTATCTGGTCACGGTAAATTTGCAAGTTATCTGTTTCGTTTTAATCTACGATCAAACAATTTATGTCAATGTTCAAAAAGAGTTCCTCAGGATGTGGAACATTTGATTTTCTCGTGCCCTACATTTGATGGCTCTAGATTATGCTTACAGAACGATTTGAAAATGTTCGGAGTGACTTGGCCAGTGAACTTATCTGTTTTCGTGCAGTCCAGACTGCTGTTCTCTGCTTTTGTTCGCTTTATTTATGCATGTAATTTTTAATATTTATTTATACATGTAACCTTTAATGTTCTAGTTAACTTACTTCTGTAAGCCCCGTGTTGTACATATGTGGTGCACGGGGAGTCTGTATGTTCTCAAAGGAAAAAAAATAGTGGTAGTTAAACATTTACAACTGACACTAAGAAGGTAACCGAAACTAAGGAGATAAGTAAGGAGACAACTGACACTAAGGAGATTATGTCTTTCAATGTAGTCAACATCGTTGTGTACAGTCCGTTGCTAACAAATGAAAGTCAGTGTACACGTTTAGCAACACCTGATATATTGATGTTTCAGACAGAGAACAAATCGAGCAAAGTCTGTTGCCTGAAGAAAGAATCTCAGAAAAATATTCGTACAAAAGTGATAGGAGGAGGTTTCGTCATTTTAGGAATCAAATCATTGAGACAAATCTTGGAGATATGGTGAATAACAGGAATTTATTCGACTACGCATATCGATCCCAGACCGCACATTCTTTTATCAGTACTGATTGCAGGTTAAGTTCTACAAATTATACTCGTTTGTTTGTACAATGATTTGTTATTCAGAACTATTTTCTAGAAATGTACATGCAGGTTCGGAACACAATAATAAAAAATTATCGTATAAGAACATAGGATCGTATGCTCAACGCCGACGCGCTACACTCCTTCAAAGCCAGAAATATAAAGGAACAAGACAAATGAACTCCCCAGCAACAGAACGATAAATTGCTCAACAACACTGGGCTCGATTCTAGGTGAACAGGCTGTTTACACGGACAAAGTTCAGTAATTAATAAAAAACAGTATGGCTTCCGTGAAGGAATATCTACGGAACAAGCAGTAGCAGATCTCCTGAAAGTGCTGAAAAAGAACAGAGAGGAAAACAATCACTCAATAGTAATATCTATTGACATAAAGGGAGCCTTCGATAATGTCTGGTGGCCTGATGTAACAAAATTAGATTCAATCAACTGCCCAATTCAAATCTTAAAGTTGATAAGGAGCTACCTTGAAGACAGACAAGTTCAAGTAACTACAAACGATGGAATAATCCAGCATAAACTGGAGCATAAAACAGGCTGTCCACAGGGTTCCTGTCTAGGAGCCAACCCTGTGGAACCCAGTAGCTAATTCAGCGTTTCCAAATTTTTGAGATGGAGAGCGAAATACATCTGCAAGCTTTTGCTGATGATTTCCTTCTAGTAACTTCGGGAAGAAAGAATATCGAGAAAATTACACAAAATGCACTAAATAGGTTCTTAGAGTGGGCACAAACACATAAACTTACGATCTCAGCAGAAAAAAACTACCATGCTATTTATAGGGCGTAAAAGAGTAATGAAAAGAAATCCTACCATTAGACTCAACGGTAGCTCAATAAAATGCTCTTCAAACATAAAATACCTAGGATTTATCCTCAACAATAATCTCTCTTGGATTCCCCACTTAAAAGAACTCAGGAAAAGATGTATCGCACTCACAAACACAATGCTACGCACAACAGGACTGCAGTGGGGAGCACCACCATGGGTGCTTAAGAGGTGGTACCAAGCAATAACAGAAAGAATTGTTCTCTACGGCGTAGCGATCTGGGGAAATACACTCAACGTAAGCATGCGTAGATTACTCCTGTCCATGAAAAGGCTGCAACTCTTGCTCATCTGCAAGGGCTACAGAACTACGTCAACGACAGCTCTTCAGGTTCTAGCAGGAATTCCTCCTCTAGACCTGCAAGCGGAAAGGGAGTCGTTAATTGCAAGAGTGTTAAGGCTAGGTGAGGATGGAGTTCTATGGGAACAACACCACTTTGCTGAAGATTTTGAAAAACACAAGCCAGTGATGCAAGGACATCCGGCTGAAACACATCTAAAAACGTGTATTCTAGGCCACTATGTGACACCAAAAGATAACCACACAGCTATATTTACAGATGGCTCAAAAACTGAGACGGGTACTGGCAGTGCCTTCTGCGTTCTGAAAGGTAATACAGCTGTGTATAAGTGGAAAAGAAGACTTGCCAGTAGGAACTCAGTATTCCAAGCTGAGCTGGCAGCACTTAAAGCAGCAATTAATTATGTGAAGAGGAACAGACTTATCCACATTACTATTTACAGTGATTCTGCCTCTAGCCTTGACGCAATCAAAGGTTACAAAAGTAGAAGCCAGTATGTCCAAGAAATTAGAAAAATCCTCCTCAGTCTTCTACCATCAGAAAGGCCATGCCTCACGTGGGTTCCGGCTCACGTGGGCATTAAAGGCAATGAGGAAAGCAGACACCCTGGCAAAAGAAGCGGCAAAGGAGGTCTCAAGAACAGAACTGCCAGATAAATTACCTAGGTCTCATCTCAAAAGGATCACTCTAAAACAACTGATAGACAGATGGCAAGCCATATGGAACACAGCAGATACAGGAAGGAGAACGTATATGTTCTTCCCAAAAACAACGCTAA